CCCCAAAACCCCAAAACCCCAAAACCCCAAAACCCCAAAACCCCAAGTTTCATTTCTAAACTGAATAATTTAAGTTTAAAATTTTTATACAAAAATGGGCAGTGCTTGCAGCTCTAATAAGAAGAACGTCAAGAATCCAAAGTAAGAAAGTAGCCTAGGAATCACAGCAAGAAAGCACCAAAGTTAAATTTTAGAATTTTTAACATAAATTTTAGTGGTTGGTGAACCCTTAGTGGTGTTTTTAGCTGCAGTTCGCAAGTAGAACGGTGAAGGAGGGGGTCTTGATTAGGAGACATGGTGATCATGGTGAAATCTAAAGGGAAAAGTTCCAGGGAATTACTCATAGGGGTATTTTGGGTGACTGTACGGAAATAGGGCATTTTTGATTAGTGTCAATCCATTTTCGGATCTTTACTCAAGTTATTAACCCAAAAACATTTGTACTCATTGTTGTAGCAATTTTTGAAACGATTTTTTGTAACTATAAGCTTTTCTTCAAATTTATTCATCATATCCAACTATTTGGGTCAGGAAATTTAGAAAAATCCTTTCTGCTCTGAAAACCCTTCACCTAAATATCCCATTCTCAAAATAATTTGCTGGCAATTAATTCGTGATAATTGCCTATTTAGTGTAAAAATGCGTGTACTCATCTTTCATGTAGAAACAAAAAAGCCAAAGGTGATAAGAAAGGCCAAAGTTCTCAAAATTGTAAGGATCCAATTTGTTTACAGAGTGTTTTCTACCTAAATTTCACTGAAAATCATTCAAACTGTACAGAGATTTTATTGGAATTCTAAAAGACTTTGCCTTGCTTGGCTAGACTAAAGTTTTCCTCGGTGAAGAATCCGCATTGATTTCTATAACAAGCAAAGAAGCTTGCTCAAATTAAACAGCATAGCCTGAATTTTTGGAGCAAACTATACTTTGTAGAAATTAGAAAATCGATTCACCAAGTCTCTAAACTTTTAAACCTTGAAGCTAGAGTGTCACCAGAAGTTTGCATCAAACCAGAGCGATTGGTTGTACATACTGAACGTCCTGGCTTTGTGTTATGGGCGAGGTATACACTCTAGGAGACTGTCAACCTTCTGCTCATGCCACTGAACTGCTGAATGCAGGCTCTGCTTTGAAATTAGTACTAAAAATAATCCCTGATGTTATTTATTAGCAAATAGTTATAACTCTGGATTGTATTTTGATGATTTGAGGTCTTAATTAGGCTCTTAAGAAGCCCGATCTTAAAATGTTGGATATGCTAATTTTTGATCTGGCAGTACAGCCGAGATTTCATAAAAAGAGGATTGATTTAAAATAAAACTCTCAAATAGAGTCATTCTAATGTCTAGTTCTTTGATTTCTCAATGATTTTGGGAGTAGATTGCAAAAGTCATCTCTAGTCACCAAAACGCCATAAAAATTGACTTTTTAATGATTTGATATTAAAAATGAGAAAAGTCCCAATGGAGATTGAGAAAATCTATTAGTTCTTCAAAACTCATCCAAGATTATTTACACTATATGCTATAGTATAACTCATAATGTTTTCATTAAGATGCTATCTCCTTACTATAAATTATCTTAAAATTTAAATTCTCATTATGTATAGATTCAGAAGACAAGAAAGAAAGTCCTGAAACACAAATCTTACCTGAACCTGTTCCCAGACCTCGAGGAACATCCATCAAGAGGCCGAACGGAATGATTATAAAAGAAGAATCATCAGAGAGTAATATAACCTCCTCACTAAATTCTATAAGAGATTTTGGCAGCAATTTCGCTCATAAAATTCTTAAAAACCTATAAATTGCTAAAATCTGCCTCTATTTTCTCTAAAATTTAAACTTTTCTTTCTCATTTCTCAAGTAAACCTCTAAACTCCTAATTTTTTTAAAATTACTAAAATTTCTAACAAGATTTAGGATCTGAAGATAACAGCAACAGCTCTGCCCAAGAATCGCCAATTTCTGGTAAAGTCAGAACAATAAAAACAGTCGCTTACAAGAAGAGGGAGCGTTCCAGTTCTCAAGAGTCCAGTGGAGAAGGCGAAGATAGTGAAGAGGGTAGCGAGAGTGGTAGCTATGGTAAGTTATGACACCCTCACCATTTAGTCGGCACTCTCAATAAATCTAGTCTTACTGATAGAGTTAGTAGAGGTAGACATTCAGCTATTTCCTCTAAATACCATAATGCAATCCTGAAGTTAATCGAAAAGACTGATTCAGACAATTATGAAACTGTGATCAAGAATCTTGACAAAAATCAATATTCCCTGAAGACAGCCTTAATGATGCCTTTGGAGGAATATATTGAACAAAATCAGTCCAAAGAGACTGGAGTTGCCGTTTATCAGGAGTACACCCCCACAGAGGAACTGTATGGAATCTTTCTCGCTATTGACACCAGAGAATGGAAAATCTTCAGATATCTCTTTGAAAAGAGAGGCTCAATATGGAATGAAAAACACCTTATACCCATTATTAGACATATGGTGGACACTGAATGGGAAGATGGAATATATAGCCTCTTCAAACTCAACCGTACCAAAGAAATGTACCTATCAATGTACTCAAATGAAAGGAAAGCATTTTATGACACAATGGAAGAGATATTAGAAGACCTTGTCAGTGATATGAGCTCCAATAATATTATCCTTCGCCAAATGATGAAGGGACTGGTGTTAAAACCGTATGCGACTCTAACCTTCCTCTATTTGTTCCATTACATTCATGTTAGTGGGGCTAAAATTCAGGCAAAGGACGTTGACCCCCAGCAATGAAGAGATGATATCTACGTCTTGTTCAATAGAAATGGAGGTCAACTCCACAAGCTAGCTGAAGGTTTTGATGAATCCTGCAGCGGAGATCTTGAAGAGAAGAAAAGATACAGAAATATTTTAGTAAAGCTTATTGATTACTCCTTTGTCATTACTCCAAGTATGATCCCTATTAGTCGAATCTGGAAGAGCATCAAAGCAGGATCTAAGGATGATCTAGCCGATTGATGCAAAGAAGCCAAGGAAAATTGGCCCCTAATCCTAACATTAAGGAAAACCCCTGTTACTCCTGAATTCAAACAGCCCTTGGCCGATGAAAGAGTAAAATCAATGTTTGTAAATAAATGGAAACCAATCCATCTTATGATTTATTATGGACGAAACAGTATGATTGAGCACCTTTTAAGCTTCTCAGGTAGATCACTAAGGAAGGCAATGACAATAGATAACAAAAAGGCAATGACTGGTGACGAAAATTTTCCTCTAAGGCTTGCTCTGAGGTTACAGAACAAGGATACTTTTAAAGAGCTTTGGAACTTGGCACATCAATGGTCTGTTATGCATCTCTTCCAAGCATTGAAAGATATAAAATTACCAAGTATGTATTCTGAAGATATCTTCAAAATATTATTGACCGACAAAACGACTGAAGATATCCTCTATTTCCTCAACACAAAGATTAAAGAAGAACTTTATGAAATATTTTTAAACTGCATCCGGGAAAATGGCAGGGACAAGAAGAAGCTTAAATCTTTTCTAAAGAAGCTTAAGAAGTCAGCTCCAAAGGAAATGGATAATATGGATGAAGATTCGAGCCAAACTCACACAATTGAATCAGAAAGTATTGAATCTGATTCTTAAATAATTTAATATGCTCCTGTAGCCTTTATCTTGATTGGTTTGTTCAAATTATTCCGATAAAGTTTCAATTATATTTACCCCTCCTGGGGTTTTGGGGTTTTGGGGTTTTGGGGTTTTGGGGTTTTGGGGTTTTGGGGTTTTGGGG